TAATATTGCCCATACTTCGTTTAACTTTGTCTATGCATCTGTATAAGATATTCTATATTTATTATACTTTAATACCATAACGAGGACGTTGTATGATGTACCTTTAGTTGTTTATATGCTCTGTTATATTCTGTTTGCTTGTTTCTTATTCTGCTAAACACACTTTGAGAGAGCTGTTGAAATTGTTTAATTGGTAATGTACTGTTTATCACAACAGTATGTGGGCATGTATGTTTAACATTTAGTTATTTACTCCTGTTTATTTGTTTATTGCAGAAACTACTTCCAATGCATATGTTTATATGGTAAAACCCTGCACATAAATAAAAGGTGGAAAAGATATGATGACTCCTACTCTCTGATCAGAGTACTGAAGTGGTTACGAACATTAAAGAACCGGCATTCAGTGGGGCAATCCCCAAGAGTAACAATATAGTATATATTTATTTACATGAGTATGCAGATAAAGTAGGATGTACTATATAACCAACTTTTAATATATGGCTGGGTGATCATATAGTTTACATATTTTCACAATATAACAGTCAAGAAGTTGAGTTTTGCTGTATAGTACTGCTAAACGTGAGTGTACTATGTATCTGGGTAAGGCTGGATATACATACAGTATTTTTTATTAGAATTACTAATTTGTTATCTGGTGATATTTAGAATTAGTAAACCTGTTTTGTTCAATTTAGAACAATTCTGTTTTCTACATTTTTATTAGAGTATGACAAATTGATTTGCACCAAAATACTGTAGAATTAAATTTCACAATACAATCCTTAATTTAAAGAAAAAACACTTATTGTTACAATTCTAACTAGGCACAATTACATGGTTACGTGTGTGTGTGTGTGTGTGTGTGTGTGTGTGTGTGTGTCAGGGTTGAGTGCATGTAGCTGAAGACGAGGATGCAGGAACTTCAAAGTAGTTGATTTATTTACAAAATTAACTTCAGGAACATACAAGAACAAAATAAACTCCAGGACTTCAGGGTAAACACAACCATACATTGAAGACGACCAACAAACACTGAGGGAAAACACAGGGCTTAAAAGAACTGGGACTAATGGGATAATTAACTGAACACAGGTGAAGAAACTGAACACAAACGAGGAGCGGGAAAACTAACAGGACTGAACCAAAAATCACAAAGACAGGGGGAAAACAAGATCACAGAACATAACTAAACATAGAAAACGTGACAGAACCTCCCCCTCCCCGAAGGCGCGTCCTCGCGCCGTATAACATCCAAAAGGGTGGGAGGGTGGGCGCCCTGGAGGCTGACGAGGGCATGGTGGTGCAGGGACGGGAAGCTTCCAGGGCGGAGCTGGTAGCTCGGGGAACCGGGGTGGAACAGGCTGTGGACGTGGCCATGGCGATGCAGGCCGTGGGTGTGGCCAGGGCGGAGCAGGCTGTGGGCGTGGCCAGGGCGGAACTGTCGGACCCTCGGGCGTCCAGGGCAGAGCTGTCGGACCCTCGGGCGTCCAGGGCGGAGCTGTCGGACCCTCGGGCGGCCATGGCGGAGCTGTCGGACCCTCGGGCGTCCACGGTGGCGAATGTCTAGCAGGAGTTCCAGGGATCCCCAACTGAGCCGGAGAGACCCCAAGCTGAGGCGACACCACAGGTCTGGAGGGCCAAGGCGGATCTGCAGGCTCATGGGACCGAGGCGGAGAAGGGGCTATGGAAGCCCGTGGCGTAACCAGTGCGAGGGAGGACAACTGAGGAGCAGGAGGGAAGATGGAGCCCGGTGGAGCAGAAGGGATGCAGGGCAGAGGCGCAGCCGGCAGCACGGAGTCCCGAGGTGGAACCAGGGTGACAGCTGACCAATGCGAGGAAGGAAGGAGGAGTGAGCCTGGTGGAGCTATAGGGCTGACAAGACCCGGCGGAGGTGAGGGCACAATGAGCCGAAGAGAAGCTGCAGGGTCGGAGGACCAAGGTGGAGTCAGAGGTTCAGGGGATTGAGGCGAGGACAGGGGATCCACTGACCAGGGCGATGCTGAGGCCTGGAGTCCCGGAGGCGGCTCCACAGCAACACTGGCGGGTAGCTGTGGATGGGCAGCAGGGTCAACAGGGCTCAGTAGAGGCAAAACAGAGCATGAAGACACCAACAGCGGAGGTGGGAGAGGGAGGCTGGGTGGGATCAGCGATGAAGGCCTTGAGCTGGGCAGGACCAGCGGCAATGAGGGCTTGGAGCTGGGCTCTATGCTGGACGGGACCAGCTGTGAAGGCTCTTGCCTGGACGGGACCAGTGGCAAAGAGGGCTTTGGACTAGACGAATGGGCCATGATCGTTGTGTGTGTAGCCCACAAACACAAGATCGCCATAATCAGCACTGTATCTTCCAGAGCTGGCTGGACGGTCTCTGGCTGGACGGTCTCTGGCTGGACGTGGCTGACGTGAAGCTCTGGCTGGACGTGGCTGGCGTGAAGCTCTGGCTGAATGTGGCTGGCGTGAAGCTCTGGCTGGACGGGCTCTGGCGCAGGATCAGCGGGCTCTGGCGCAGGATCAGCGGGCTCTGGATCGGCTTGGCTGGACGGAACCAGCGGTGAAGAGGGATTGGCTGGGCTGGACGGAACCAGCGGTGAGGGCTTGGCTGGACTGGACACCACCAACCCAGGATCGAAGAGAGGCCAGAGTGGAGAGTGGTGTCGGGACTCCTCTCGACCACCGCCTCTACTGCGGCCTCCACGGGTCCCACGGAACACAGCTTGGCGGGTTCCCACAAAGGCTTGCTTCCAGATCTCCATCTTCCTTTTTTTTTTTTTTTTTTTTTTTTAGGGTTGGTCGTTCTGTCAGGGTTGAGTGCAGGTAGCTGAAGACAAGGATGCAGGAACTTCAAAGTAGTTGATTTATTTACAAAATTAACTTCAGGAACATACAAGAACAAAATAAACTCCAGGACTTCAGGGTAAACACAACCATAATTTGACAACGACCAACAAACACTAAGGGAAAACACTAGGGCTGTAGTCAACCAAAGAAATCCTTAGTCGACCAAAGTCTTGTCCTGCGCAACGATTAGAAAAAAAAAAGACGCGATGTTTTGATTGAACATTTTTTAACAATTGTCATAGAGCATTTATAAAACAACAACGAAAAAACATCAAAAATACATAAAACTATAATAATAATAATACAATTCTTTGAAAATTAAGTGATTTTTTTTAACTGCAAAAAGTGAGGAGCACTGTCCTAGGTCTACAGTCACAATCGCGCACCTGACCACACCACACGCTACAAAAAATATAACTGCTGTCTGCCACATAATGAAACATCCTAACAAAAGCTCTCGTTTATAGGCTGTATATTCGTCTTTACTTTCAAAACTATGGGTTAACTTTTGTCCAGCCGATCTAGGAGTTTTAAAACAAACACACAAAAAACCCAGAGAGCCTAAAAAACAATCCTAATAATAATAGGCTGTATTGTAGGACCGCATATAGGTTTATTTTCGTTTTGTTACATTATTTAGGCTATTTTCAAATACTTCAAGTGTACAAATAAAAACAAAAACATATCAAGGAAACACAATCTATTGAGTCAGCATGATAAAGCCGTTAAAGGGACTGCTCACGTCTTCAAGTTCGATTTCAAATGTAGGCGCGCGGTGTGCGCACTCATGATGGAAGCAACGCGGTCGCGGTGCGACGCGCTCTTTTTTTTTTCGAGTGCGTCCACGCCGCATCGAGATAAAAACATATAGTGTATAAAAACCGAAACAAGTAGCGTTCTAACTGAATGAATACAGCTAAACTACGTATATCCCTTAGTGAGCACGAAGCAGCAGCGCAGCCAGCCACCGAGTGTTCTATGTGTGTGTGCTAAACTGTGGCGCTGTTACAAAATAGCCTAAATTAAAGCATTTAAAGTTGGGGATAAACCATAGGCTAATTATATTTAGAATACAGTAATATATAACTGCTTATAAAGGAGTACAAATCAAGGAGTAAATCATTTAAAATTTCTTTCTATTGGTAAAAAAAAAAAAATCAAAACCGGTCGACCAATAAGAATGTCAGTCGACCAAGACGGCATCGACCGATTAGTCGACTAAACGACTAAAGTTGACAGCCCTAGAAAACACAGGGCTTAAAAGAACTGGGACTAATGGGATAATTAACTGAACACAGGTGAAGAACAGGGGGAAGACAGGGGGAAAACAAGATCACAGAACATAACTAAACATAGAAAACGTGTGTGTGTGTGTGTGTGTGTGTGTGTGTGTGTCCTGGTAAACCCTACATTATGGGAAAAAAAATGTACCCACAAAGATAGCAATATCCTAAATCCTTGTCGGGACTTTTTGAGAAAAACAGCTTATAAATCATACTAAGTTATGTTTTTTGAAAATGTACAAATGCCTAAATCTGTGATGGGAAGGTTTAGGGGTGGGGTTAGTGTAAGGGGATAGAATATACAGTTTATACAGTATAACATTGTGTCTATGGAAAGTCCCCATAAAACATGAAAACACAATGTGTGTGTGTGCGCAGAATTACAATTTGAGAGAAATGTTTAAAGTAAAATTTATTCTGAAACAAATAATAATAATAATAATTCATTACATTTATATAGCGCTTTTATCGGCACTCAAAGCACTTTGCATAAGAGGGGGGAATCTCCTCAACCACCACCACTGTGCAGCATCCACCTGGATGATGCGATGGCAGCCATATTGCGCCAGAACGCCCACCACACACCAGCTTATTGGTGGAGAGGAGACCGTAATGAAGCCAATCAGAATATGGGGATGATTAGGAGGCCATGATGGAGAGAGGCCAAGGGGCAAATTTGGCCAGGATGCCGTGGTTAAACCCCTACTCTTGTTCGAAGGACATCCTGGGATTTAATGACCACAGAGAGTCAAGACCTGATGCACCTTTGGATTAGGTTTAGCTAGCAGCTTAGATATCTCCTAGGTCTGAAGCCAAGGGTTACAGAAGAGGTTTAGATCACGTAGAGATTAAGGAAATAAAATAATAAGGATGTCTTACTTCTTCTGGTGGATTCCTGACCTTCTGCAAGTACCTCTTTACCACTTCCTCAGGTGTTTTACCTGGAAAACAAATCACTTATGTTAAAATATTCAGTATGGGATTTCAAATATTCATTTGTTGTGTGTATAAATCTGCTGAGTGACAATCGATGGGAACAGCTGGTAGTGATTGGTGGCCATTGCATTTCAGCAGTTGCCTCAAGTCTAAATCTGTCATACCAAGCAAGACTCCTTTTGCCACCAGAACAGCCTAAATGTTTTGTGGTATGGATTTAGAAAGGTGCAGGAAAACTTCCTTAGGGATTTTGGTCCTTGCTTCCTCAATAGCAAATTTCAGAAACAAACTTATGCAGCACTGCACTGCAATGTATTTATCTGTGAATATGTCAGTAAGTACATGGATTCTCACCTTTGCGGGCTTGTTTCTTGGTGGTCTTGCGGCAACAGTTCCCGATGCCAGGAATTGGTCTAATGTCACTCTTGCTGACAGGTGGAGGATGCAGAGCCAGTTTTGGTGGACGGGTCAAACATACAGGTAGTCCTGCTGCACTCATCAGAATACCAGTAATACCTGCAATGCATCATAAATACACATGTGTAATGTATTGCCAGTTTATAATTTTTATTTTAAACAATTACTAATAGTGTATTAAGAATGTGTCTTGTTCTCCTACCAGCTAATGCCGGATGGACAGAGCTGGAGCCATTAAGATTCTTCACTGGTACTGTCGGTACCCTAGGAGAAAAAAAAAAGCTCTATAAGGCCAGTGGACACACTGACTGCTGCCTTACAGAATGTTCTGCTGTCAAACCAACAGATTAAGTAGTTTACCAGACTAATTATTTAACATCACTCGAATGAGATCAGAGGATTAGCCAACAACAACGTTCCAACAATCCAATCAATTCACAATGGACAAAATCAATAAATGTTTCCATTTCATGCTGACTTTAAGAGACAACAATTTGTTTCATAAAAGCAATTGACATGCTGAACCTACAAACTTCAAAACTGCAGTATTTTTCCCTCTTGAACTTGAAGATTTTATTCATTGTAGAGGTGTCGCATTATAGTGACGTTTCAGAAAATGTAATATTTATATCATGTTAATACTACACATTTGATAATATACAGCACCAGTAAAAAAATAATTTAAAAAATAAACAATTTAAGATAAATCATCAAATATCAATATATATTGCGATAATATTGTTATCATGAATTATTTTAGACACGATAATCGTGTAGTGACAATCTCATATAGTGACAGCTCTAATTCAGTGCTAACTTCCTCTGAACTTTCTTCTGTAAGATGATTATGAAATGTTGTGTAAAAATATGACACAGACATTCTACCAGTTTCTCAGGGGTCGTGTCTGTACGTAAATTTATTAAAAATGTAAATGAATGTAGCAAAGTGTGTTTGTTCCAGTCACAGCTGTTGCTGGGTCTGTCTGTATGTATTGATCTTCCTAACTGATAATAAGTCTAAAGCTGCGTTCTCACTACCAGCGACACGATCCCATTCATTTTAATAGGGGGCTGGCGATTTCCGGCGACGAGCGACAGTAACCCTTGGCGACAGGATGTAGGTATGTCCAGCGACACGACAAAGTTGAGATATGTTTAACTTTATGCAAATGAAGAGCGACTTTTGGGAGCAACAACCAATAGGAGTGAAGTTAGAAGCAAGATGGAAAAGTCAGCAACTTTTCTATAATTTATGATATGCTGTGGTGTTTTTTCCTTCCAAAATATTTGTTTGAAGAGGCAAGAATACTGAATGGTTACAACATGGAGTAACATCTGTGAATGACATTCACAATTTTTTCTAGGCAGGCAACCAGTAGTGGGATAACCCACTAGCGACCTTACCGTCAGCCACTGGTAACATGCAGTGACATAGTCACCGGTAGTGTGAACGCAGCATAACACTTTATTTTCCAGATGGTGACTAACCTCACAATATATTTACAAATGCACACAGGCACGTCTCTAGTGTAAAACAAAACATTTTGAGATTAACAGTTAATGGTTCAGTATGAAGGAACAGGATTACACCTCTAAATAACAGTCATCTATTTAAAAGAAAAGCGGTAGAAATCTGCATAACAAGAAAGATGTATATCCATTATAAAAATAACCAAATACTAAGAAATATCGTGATTTATTTTTTTGTGTGCCAATTTTAATGCTTGTTTTGTCTTATTTTAAAGTCATATTGAGTCCCCCTTGGAAGTTTGTTGAGGCCCCTGGTTGAAAACCACTCTTCTAGATTCTTCCTGTTAGTCTGTGCATAAAAATGCAAAATGTGTTATTTAGAATTATATATGAATAGCTTAATTTCAAGTGTAACAGGTACATAGCTGACCTAAATAGCAATGCCCCCGTTTACGGTTACATATCCTCATTGTCATGCTCCCTTCCTTCCGAAACTCAAATAACAATATGTTCTGATGCCAGCAAAAGATACATCAGTTGACATAGAAACAAAAAAGAGCTGCGGTGTGACATTTAGGGACAGGTGAATCTGTAATCAACAACACCACAATAATACTAAAAAATAGAACACCACTACTGCCACGTTTTTTTCTCTTCAATGAAAGTTCTGTTTAAGGTACACTTTATTTGCAACAAATGATGTTTTTCACACGAAAGTGAAAACTGAACTAAATATGCTGAAGTGGTTAAGTGGTAAAAGAAGGACTTGTTGAGTGTTTGCTTAAAGTGATGACGTGACAGGTTACTAATACATTTTAGCCAATTATCAACACTGCAGCAGTAAATTTTATTTATATTCCCGTTTTGTTTTCCATTGAAAAACAGAAGTGTCAGACATGGGAAGGAAGATGGCTGTTTGGGTAGGGCCAATGGGGAAGCTTTTGACCTCCACTGACCCTTGATCTTGCCTCTACAACAGACTTGTCTCATTGTTTTCTCTCTCACACATGCTCAACAACTGCTGCTCTATGACTCCAGATGGCTTTACGTCTGAGGCAGAACATTCCATTAGAAAGAGCACCAGACTCACAATGTTCTCCTGCATTAGCACACATGTATGTCACAACATCTGTGTAGGATGATAGTTTATTTTGTAATTGCTTTACTAGGTACAATTTGTATTCAAAATAAGATGCAAATGAGTAAAAATACTCCAATTCTACCTCTGGCTGCATCTACACATAGTTTATTCTCAAAGACGTCCAGCACTTCAATCCACCCTAGCTACACTCCAAACCTTCATTACCAAAAGTCACATCTAATGCTTCAGGAAACACTGGGACACCATTGTTACTACATTCAATGTCAAAACCTTTTGCTCGTTACTCCAACTCCTTCCTAACATAGACATGCACACACACTCTACTATGTCAAAAGCTTTAGTGAGACAGCATTGTGTTGCTAATGCAGACCAGCCCATGTCATGTCAACAAAGGTTGCTGCAGAAACCCAGCGTGAACACGAAATCACCACTGAGACCTACGGAAAAAGCCACAGAAACAGCTATAGATATAAAGGGGGAGGGGATGGAACGAATAAGACCATTCTGTCCCCAGATGGTCATCAAACAGAGCAGACATGGATGATTTAGCAGTGCGAGAAACGTGAGAAACACACTCCTACACAGAGGAGGGGTAAAAACATGAACACACTCATACATGAGTGAGGCTGACACCCAAATTATATAGGCCTAACACACTGGTGATTTTAGTCGATTAAAGGGTTAGTTCACCCAAAAATGAAAATTATGTCATTAATGACTCACCCTCATGTCGTTCCAAGCCCATAAGACCTCCGTTCATCTTCAGAACACAGTTTAAGATATTTTAGATTTAGTTCGAGAGTTTTCTGTCCCTCCATTGAAAATGTATGTACGGTATACTGTCCTTGTCCAGAAAGGAAATAAAGACATCATCAAAGTAGTCCATGTGACATCAGTGGGTTAGTTAGAATTTTTTGAAGCATCGAATATACATTTTGGTCCAAAAATAACAAAAACTCCGACTTTATTCAGCATTGTATTGTCTTCCGGTTCTGTTGTCAAGCCGCATTCAGTGACGCTGCTGACGTAAGACGCTGCTGACGTGTCATCAGTGCGCCCGAGCTTCGTTTACGGTCTCTGAGGCACGCTGTAAACAAAAAATCTTCGCAAACATGTCTAAGAATTTCGACAAAGAGGAAGATTTGCATTTTTTTTGCCCACCCATATTTATTTGAACCCGAATACACGGACACACCAGATAACACGTCATCAGCGTCACTGCGGACTCGTGTACGCGAATTGACAACAGAACCGGAAGACAATACAATGCTGAATAAAGTCGTAGTTTTTGTTATTTTTGGACCAAAATGTATTTTCGATGCTTCAAAAAATTCTAACTAACCCACTGATGTCACATGGACTACTTTGATGACCCTTTAAGACTGTTTCCTAAAGTCCACAAAGTTTTCCTAACTAGGGTTGGGTACTGAAACCCGGTACCATTATGGAACCGGTACCTAAGTAACCGGACCGAATCAAAATGCAGATTTCGATGCCTAGTTCACACTACACTACTTTAAACGTCGGCAAATCGCTGTGCTGTTTAGACTACATGACTTGCTCTGGAGTCTTGAAGTCGTTGTGGTGTTCACACTACGTGACACTATGTAAATGATCTGCAACAGGGGGTTACACACTACACGAGCTGACAACAACTGTCACCCAACGACTATCCGGTCCCGAAACCACGTTATGTCACGAAAAAACACACAAATTCTTTTTATTATCAATGTGTGAAACAGTTGTGCTGCTTAACATTTTTGTGGAAACCATCAATTTAAAATGTATCCTTGCTTAAGTATTCATTTCTTCCAAAAAATCTTACTGATGGTACTGAATGGTATTGTATATGAAACTGATAAAACAGGTAAAATGCCTTTTCTTACCCAGAGGCAATAAGCGCCCGTGACTGTGCCATGGCAATTCTCTGCAAAGCAGGCCGACTAAGCCCTGCCAGACTGTCACGGGGTGGTAGAGGGGCAGCACATGCAACGGAGCGCTGAGAGGCCAACGTTGTTGAAGATGACGTAAAAACTGTGGATGGTGTGGGACTTGTTGACGTGTTAACAAGTATGGCAGTTGGCACAAACGTTGCTAAAGATGATAAACTTGGAGTGGATGGAGGCAGCTGATTCTGTGATGGCATAGTTGGGGGTAAAGATGAAGGCGTTGGGCGGCTAGAGGAGATTGAGAGATTGGCAGTGGCCGATGTGAGAAGGGACAACGACTGATCAAAAACACCAGAATTCTTGGCTTCTTCCGAGGGCATGGATTTTAAAGATGTTCCATGTGGTAGTGTATGAGAATATGAGTTTAAAAAAGAGGAGGATGGAAGTGTCCCAAAGCTGGATTTTGGACTGTTTGGCTTTGTTGCACGTCCTAGTGTCTGTGATGCAGTGCCATTTCCCTTTACACTCAACACCAGCATGCACTGCTGGCAGGCACAGGGCTGTCCGAGAGGAGCAAGAGATGATACCGAAAGCGTCCCGCTTGGGTAAACGGCACTTCCTTTTCTACTCAGGGTAGAACCAGAAACGCCTACCCCAAGAAGAGCCCCGGTTGACCCTCCACCTGATGTAACCTTTCTAGTCATGCCTCCAGTCCCTGAGCCAGTACCCCAAGCCACTGAATTTTTAGGCAGTGGCCCAGTAACTAGTGGGTAAACCATGTCTGAGCGTCTCTGGATGCGCCTCTGCCGCTGTGTTTGCCTGTTTATCTGGGTCATGGTCTGGAAGTCAACAAAGTAGCAAAAGCCCAACGATGTCAGGTCCAGCCAGGGTTGCTGTCGATCCCGTGCCGCTTGCAAGGCAATGCTCACCTCCATGTCAAAGGCTGTCCAGGAACCTGCATCATTTTCCCACTCCCATATCCAACCTTGGCCTGGCGCTGAGGTGGGGTCATAGAAACTCCGTCGCACTGGTCTTAACGTACCTGAGGAGGTAAACAAAAGGATTATAGATCAAATATAATAAAAGAGATATAATAAACCAGTTAAATAAAGTGTTTTCTTACAACAGAGGCAACATGTTACGCATCTAAAGGCACCAATATACTCAAAGCAAATTCTTTTTTGTTCATCGCTTTGGGGAACAAAGAAGTTTGAAATACCTGAGCAGCAGTAAACAGTAAACGAAAATCCTGATGCCGCCTGCTGTGAGCGGTATTTAGATGTATATAATATGTAAACATGTACTGCACGCTTTTTCTCTCAATAAGAAAATGCACAACTAAACAGTTAAGAAAACATCTGATCATAGAGAATTGGATGTTTTTTGCACCAGCTCTGTAATTTGGCACTCCAGTCAAGTCACATCATGTTTATTTATATAGAACTTTATACAACAGGTTGCTTTAAAGCAAGCAGCTTTCCAGTCTAAAACATGAAAAAAAGAAGCAGTGTCACTTTCGGTTAGATGTCCAATGTAAGCATCCAATCCTCCATTATACTGACTGAAATCTGAATGCCTATTGTTGTGCTTTGCGCATCCTTTGAATTTAAACCCATTCATCGGAGCAGAAATAAGGTTACATTCTCTCCAGTAAGACTGATCAGATCAGGATCTTGAGTGTTTAGAGTAATAATTCTTCAATCAAATTTAAAGCAGTAACTGAGACAACACATGCAATATCCATTTAGCTAATGCACAAAATGCATTTAGAAATTCATGACGTAGTGCTGGGACACACAAACAGAAAACAAAAACCCATGTGAATAAATAGATTTGAGCATAAAGCAAAAGCCACTGAGCACAAAAGCCCCACTGAGGCCTAAACTTTAGCACAAGAGGAGAACTGGGAATTCGCAGAGTTCTAGAAGCCATAAAACTTGTGAAAGGACATATTCTCTTTTTAACACCCATATACACCTACTATAACTTCAAATGGTACAAAACACTTGATGTGTTGCATGATTCTGTAGACATTATGCAACTTTATAAAGCACGTTCCAGAAATGAGGTGGAGTAAAGCAAGACATCAATATGCTTTGATCATACTTTATTGCGTTTGAACTCACTTTACCAGCTCTGTGGCTCAATCACAGTCATGCCCTCTCAGCTCTAGTGTACATGAATGAAACTGTCTTTTGTTCTCTTTTGTTAACAGATGTATAGATAACTATTTGCCAATACTTTTTTTCTTTTGCTGCTTGTGAGAAGTAATTTCACTGAATTATACAGTCAAGCTAATGATAAATGATGTGTGGTATTTAACTGCATGCGAGTACCATATAATTATGTCTGAAGGCAGGTACACTGATATTATGTATCTCAGGGGCTGCTTTTAGAAAGTGTGATGTGTTCAGGGGCCAGTGAACATAATAATATGATAAGAAATTAAAATATATATAAAACATTTTTTTTTAAATCTAATGTATTCCTGTAAATGGCAAAGCTGATTTTTTAGCAGCCATTACTCCAGTCTTCAGTGTCACATGATTATTCAGTGTTCTCTAAGTGTTCATGTTTTTACGTGCAGACGTCTGACCTTGATGGACTGAAATGTTTTTGTCAAAGAAGGCAGAGCCCCAGAGCATGCCTACTTATTGCGTAATCGCCACAGACAAATGGTAGTTTGAAAGTGTTTACCATTTGGAGGAAACTTTTAGGGAACGTTTGAATCGGCTGGGATCAGATCAGGATCTTGAGTTTTTTTATTCCTGTGATTTTCAGCATCATTACTTCAATGTATTATGCTGATTTGCTGCCCCTTTGATCAATTTAATACATCCTTGCTGAATAAAAATATGAATTTCTTTAAAAAAAAAAAAAAAACATCTTTGACCCCAAACATTTGAAGGGTTGTGTATTTGCATGTGCCTATTTTTTGCTATACACTTTAAGAAAAAAATTAAAAATAACATTATTTACTTGGGATTAATTGGGATAAATTTTTTCACTAAATCTGATTATTCTACCTATTAATCTAATTTAAGTTTTTCAACCCCGCCTGCACTGCAAGCCACATGGTGTGGCACTCCCATAAGTCTCACAGCAAGGGTGTCCGCACTTCATTTTAAACTTACATTGGACAATTGTCATTTTCTTCTACACAGACAAATGCTAGATTTTTTTGGCCACACTTGGAAAAAAATAAAATATTTTGTTTTTAAATAAAATAAAAAACATTTTTAAAGTTCAACCTGTACTTTAGTAGTCTATTACGAAAGAAAACCTCATTATACACTCACCGGCCACTTTATTAGGTACCCCATGCTAGTAACGGGTTGGACCCCCTTTTGCCTTCAGAACTGCCTCAATTCTTCGTGGCATAGATTCAACAAGGTGCTGGAAGCATTCCTCAGGGAGTTTGGTCCATATTGACATGATGGCATCACACAGTTGCCGCAGATTTGTCGGCTGCACATCCATGATGCGAATCTCCCGTTCCACCACATCCCAAAGATGCTCTATTGGGTTGAGATCTGGTGACTGTGGAGGCCATTTTAGTACAGTGAACTCATTGTCATGTTCAAGAAACCAATTTGAAATGATTAGAGCTTTGTGACATGGTGGAAGTAGCCATCAGAGGATGGGTACATGGTGGCCATAAAGGGATGGACATGGTCAGAAACAATGCTCAGGTAGGCCGTGGCATTTAAACGATGCCCAATTGGCACTAAGGGGCCTAAAGTGTGCCAGGAAAACATCCCCCACACCATTACACCACCACCACCAGCCTGCACAGTGGTAACAAGGCATGATGGTTCCATGTTCTCATTCTGTTTACGCCAAATTCTGACTCTAACATCTGAATGTCTCAACAGAAATCGAGACTCATCAGACCAGGCAACATTTTTCCAGTCTTCAACTGTTCAATTTTGGTGAGCTCTTGCAAATTGTAGCCTCTTTTTCCTATTTGTAGTGGAGATGAGTGGTACCCGGTGGAGTCTTCTGCTGTTGTAGCCCATCCGCCTCAAGGTTGTGCGTGTTGTGGCTTCACAAATGCTTTGCTGCATACCTCGGTTGTAACGAGTGGTTATTTCAGTAACTGTTGCCCTTCTATCAGCTCGAACCAGTCTGGCCATTCTCCTCTGACCTCTGGCATCAACAAGGCATTTCCGCCCACAGAACTGCCGCTCACTGGATGTTTTTTCTTTTTCGGACCATTCTCTGTAAACCCTAGAGATGGTTGTGCGTGAAAATCCCAGTAGATTAGCAGTTTCTGAAATACTCAGACCAGCCCTTCTGGCACCAACAATCATGCCACGTTCAAAGTCACTCAAATCACCTTTCTTCCCCATACTGATGCTCGGTTTGAACTGCAGGAGATTGTCTTGACCATGTCTACATGCCTAAATGCACTGAGTTGCCGCCATGTGATTGGCTGCTTAGAAATTAAGTGTTAACGAGCAGTTGGACAGGTGTACCTAATAAAGTGGCCGGTGAGTGTATACGCCATTAAGTCAATGATTCCACCAGGATCTGTCAGTATTGATCGTGATGCACCAAAATTGTTATTTAATACTAGTTTCAGTTCAATATAGTCGGTCCAGATAAAACTAGATAATACTGTGCCTCCTCTCAACATTATGGCCAAAGCAACAGATGGCCATGTCCACTTTCACATACCGATCAATCATACAGCCTGCACTTAAGTTTGCGAGCTTGTGCTAGTATGTGAGTGGGAGTAAAAGGCTGTGCTTCAGCAGATCATAAACTGTGACATTGGGTTAAGGATCCCAGGACCTTTGCAGCGGCACAAAGCCCTATACAGCAGGTGTACAGAGACCGTCCATCTGTTCCATTGTTGATGGCTCTGTGCTTCCATCATTGCCCCAATTTTCATTTCCCTTCCTTCTTTCAAACTAACAACTTTATTCCCCTTTCTTTTCTAAAAAAATAAATTATAAAATACAATAAATGCAATGAATTATAAATGCAAAAATGATTCCATTAAAACATCTGACACGTGCAGTGTTTCCCCTACCATTGTTTTGTTTTAGTACAAAACGGTCCCCCGCCACCCCCGAACGAATGACAAAAATATATTCCACAAAAAAAACCGGACGCCCCATGTGGTAACTTTTAGCGGCTATGATTTTCACGATACAGAAAACGCAGACGGAATCGCGGAATCCAGTCATAAAAACAGAATTTACTGGATAACGCGGAATTTCACGGAATTTGTAAATTCTTTGATGAATATATGAATGTGAATTTTAAACCGCAAAAAGACTATTTAAATACGAATCCTGCATCGTCTGTGTGAATGAATGGTGCAGACGACGCGCAGTTTCATTTACCACACACACACACACACACACACTGAAGCACGTGTGACGCTTTTTTTTTTTTTTGCCTATGAGGATAGGAATGCATGAACTTCATCTACAGACTTTAGATCCGCTCTGAAAGTCACTTTGTGAGCATTTAACCGCTTCATTTGAGAAAATCTATCATCAAATATTTGACCATGACATAAATGAGAAGGAAGCTATCTGAAAATGAAGCTTGGTAGGCTACTTAAAAACTGTTGTAGATAAAGAGAAGTGACCAAGCAATTTATAAAGTGGGTTTCAGAATTGAAAAGCAGTGCTTAAAGTACACAAGCAGAAAGTAAGCTCAACAACTACACTACCTAGAAAAGATTTTTTAAAGGAGTCTCTCAAGCTTTAACCAAGGCTGCATTTATTTGATGAAAAAAAAAAAAACTCATTTATCTGTGATATTATTACCATTTTAAAGAACCGTTTTCTATTTTAATATACAGTAGGCCTACTCTAAAATGTAATTTATTTCTGTAATGGCAAAGCTTAATTTTCAGCATCATTACTCCAATCTTCAGTTTACATGATCACACGATCCTTCAGAAATCATTCTAATATGCTGATTTGGTGTTTAAGAAACATTTGTTTTTATTAATATCAATGTTGAAAACAGTTGTGGAAACCATGATACACTAACACTACCATTCAAAGGTTTGGGGTAAGCGAGATGAAAAAAAAAAAAATCATTATTCATAGGACACCTTAAAAATGACAGTAACATGTATAATGTTACAAAATTATTATTATGGTTTTTAAATAAATGCTATTCGTTCAAACTTTCTATTCATCAAAGCATCAGCAACAAAAAATGTTTTCAACATTTCACAAATGTTTTCAAGATAATAGTAAAAAAAAAATCTTGAGCAGCAAATCATCGTATTAGAATGATTTCTGAAGGATCGTGTGACACAGAAGACTGGAGTAATGATGCTGAAAATTCAGCTTTGTATCACAGGAATAAATTGCATTTTAAAATATATTAAAATAGAAAACAGCCATTTTAAATTGTAATAATTTTACACAATATTTTTGTTTTTACTGTGTTTTTGATCAAATAAATGCAGCCTTGGTAAGCATAAGAGACTTTTTTCAAAAACATTTAAAAATCTTTATTGTTCCAAACTTTTGACTGCACTGTAGGTGTGTGTTTATGGGAAGGAGGGAGTTATACCAACAGAAATGATTCACAAAATGGTCAGCTTGAAAGAAATTATAACATTCCCTCAACTCTTTAGCCTATTAACCATGTGAGAGTCATTGGATGAAAAGATTGGAAGAAAAACACAATCCTGCCCTATGCCTGTGTGTGTGTTATACTAATCTCCAGTCTGCAATGGAAAACAGAGTAACTGACAGCACCCCTGGGCCCAGAGTTGATGAAACTACATCCTAGCCTGTTGCACAATAACAACCGCTCCCCATCTCTCCGCAAACTATCTTTATAGTTACGTTCTTTCACTTGGAAGTGTGCTCATTTCCCTAGGTAATGCTTTATGGAACTTCACTCCACAATGTGCAAGTGTGACTGAGCAAGTTAGTTTGCTGTTTTTTTAGGGCAAGTCTTGACAGAGCGGTGAGGGTTGCGAATGTCACTAACCTCATGTCATGGATGTTTGGTTGCAAAACATTACCTGAGAAAAAAAAATGAGTTTCAAAATGATTTGGGTGTTAGTAACAAGATCATTATGGGGAGCTGCCTGGGTGTGTGTCTCTAAACCATTATTCACAGTAGGCTGGTGCAGTTATGTGTTGTTGTTTTTTTCTCTTATGCACTAGATTAACACAAATGCACTTTGTCCATGGGGATAAATAGGCAGTTTTGCTGCAAGAATTTGCAATCACTTTGAGTAACTTTAATCTGTGTCCTCTTACATATCAAGGCCTCAGTTTGACTAAAATTGTGTGATTTCGCAAGGCCGGACTAACAGACCTTGATAATGTGCTTGTGAAAATTTTACAAGAAAACAAGGGTAGTGTTATGTCTGTTTTTTGTACCTCTATTGTCTCACTCCCTCACTTTGTGTTGTCCAGTCATATTACAGTGGCCTCAAAAAAGTATTTGGACACATTGAAAAATGTATTAATTTCATTGAAGATGTATTGCAATCTTTTATCTTAATTTTAAAAAAAAAATCTACTTTTCTATGTTAAATTTTACAACATATATTGCATGTTTATGCTAAAAATGTCACTTGGTCTCATATTTTGCTATTGAATGCGAAGACATTTTAAGTGTGGCATATATATTTAAATACTTTTTGCCACCAATTTATATCCATCCAAAACAACAGCTGCCTGGGTGGAAAGTAGACATAGTTCAATGTGGTTTAAACTCAAATGAGTGCATACATATAAAGTAGATGCGTGTTAAAAAAATAGCTGAAGAAGGTGTGAACAACATTTCGTCAAAACCACTAATTTGCAGTCTGAAAGAGATAAGCATAGATGTGCTTTGAAGTCATATTACATCATGCTAAAATAAAATATTTGCCACACTTTTTATCAATATATCATTGCTTGAACCATACCTGAGGCTCTTACCTGTGTCAAGACGTTTTAACAATTATTCCATAAAACTAACAATTATTATCTAACAATTACCTGGTACTAGTATTTTTTTTTAATTGCTAGCAAGTAACCCAATCATGACTAGTATCTTCTTTAGTTTCACCAAGAGATACTAGCACTCATTCCTTTGCTACTACTCATAATCACAATAGTGGCATACTAACCCATTGTTAGTTATAAAAGTTCTAAATGTATATGGGGATCTGTGGTTCAGTTTTTGACTATTGTGTATTCTAATTGTCACTGGATAGGCTTTATGCCGAGCGTCACATGACCAAACCGGAAAACGGGTCTCATTGTATCCGCTTGTCAGAGAAAGTGTTAACGGCCGTAAGAACTAACTACGATATCTATGGATTTTTAAGGTAATCAGCTAACCTAAGTTCACTTTGTTATTGGTGTTTTATATCTAAATATCTAAACGTTAGTGTGAAGAAGAAAATTAAAAAACTTTTAAATATCAATCTGCACATGCGAGGGACATTGGTTATGCTCATTTTTGCTTGCTCCTTGTAAGTTATCTAGAGTAAAACCGCAAAAAATTTCATGAAGCACATACAAAAGACCTGAATCGGAAGCGATGTGATCTGTTTTACGGCTTGGTCACGTGACGCTCGGCATAAAGCCTATTATATTTCAGTTTTGTTCACTATCTAGCACTTATGGTTTGGTTACTAGTAGTTTCAAGTTACTAGTAGTATCTATTCCAGTTTTACTAGTACCACTTTATGTGATACTAGTAGTCATTCCCAAATGGTACTAGTAACATTTCTGATAACACTTTACAATAAGGTTCCATTAGTTAACATTAGTTAACTACATTAGTTTACATGAACAAATAATAAATTGCTCTTCTACAGCGTTTATTAATCTTTGTTGATTTCAATATTTACTAATAAATTATTGATATCAAAAAGTTGTATTTGTTAACATTAGTTAATGCACTGTGAAGTAACATCAACAAACAACGAACAGCTGTATTTTTATTAACAAACGTTAACAAAGACTAACAAATACAGTAACAGATGTATTAGTTAATACATTAATTGATGTTAACAAATTAAACCTTATTGTAAAGTGTTAGTTCAATTCAACAATACAGTTCTAAAAATCTTGCTGATTATGTTAAATGTAATGATAAATATTACTAATAAAAATAGTATTTTAGTTGTCAATGCTGGGATCGTGACTAGCAGCAAAATAATAAGTACTAGTATACAATGAATGCTTGATGAAGGCACAAGTATAATAGATAATTCCATAAAATAGTGACATGAAATAGAAACGAGTTCGTTGTAAAGAATGAATGTTATAATGGCTTGCCACAGGTATAATGATGCGCTGATGGTTTTCATCTTACCGGTGTCCTGTCTGAACTGATGCATGGAGTGTAGATCGATGATGTAGGGCGACAGGCGGCTGTCGGCTCGGCCTAGAACGACGCTTCCGCCGCGGGGATCGCTTCTTATCACCTCCTCTATGTGGTGAGACACGGTCGGGCTGTACGGCCGCCAGCGCCCGTGCTCGCTGAGCCATTCCCAGACGACCACGGCGGAGGCTTGTAACATCGTATCCCTTCAAGTAGAACAGAAAAACGAAGTACGCATCTCTTGATTTCAACAACCAGTTTTGTAAACGCAGTAGGACAGATTTGCTAATGCTAATGTAAAGCACGGCAAAGTTGTAATGCCTGGTCTGTATAACGTCGATACTAGACACACGAGGATTTGTTTTGAGCTTGAATATTCTGGTTCTCGGTATATATAACTTAAGCATAAACTCTCAGGTACACTCACGTTTATGTAGAAAACGCTTATCGCAGCATCAGGAAATAAATATCCTTATCACTTCTTCCATGGTTGGTCACAAGCGATCTCAACAACTCCTCACGAGTGTCAACAAATAGTCAACGGACCAATATTCTTCTTTCTTCTTCTACACATACGGCGTTGACCGTCGCTCAGTTTTCGCTTCTTCTTCTTACTAAGTTAGTTTCTTGCGGCACGAGGTGTAATTTATCGAAGATCATGTAGACTTTAAGTAAATGATCTCTGGTGAAAAGCTCGTGGTTTTGTGTTCCGCGCACTGGGTTGATAAAGTAACACCCAACACCTAGCCATCACAGTTTAGTAATGCTGTGAGTAATGCTGCGTGAATTGGTGCTGGAAAGTCCGACTCATATCCAAGAATCGGTTCTTTCGAACAGCTCATTTTATTTAACCGCTTATAAAATGAGTGTCATCCCAACGTGATACATGCTCTAAAATACACGAGTCCGTTAGAGAAGGGCTGGATTTCGAATAGAATAATAGTAGGCTGCCATATTGCTCTTAATCATATTCTATATCTTTGTATAGTATGATAGTGTGATATTTATTATTCCGGCCAAAATCAGAAAACAGTCACGGTTCAGTTGAGCTCTCGGAGTCCGAGAGTGTTGAACCGTGACTGTTTTCGAGACTCGGACCGATTCAGTTCGATTCGTGAAAGAAATCTGTCAGACTTGTTTTGTGAAGTGGTTCAATTGATTCATTAAAATTATATGACTCAAAGGAAGGATTCATTCACAAATTGATTAGACATCAAACTTTAACGCACCACAGAGGACGAAACCTGTTTGGTTGGTCATGTATTTTCATGTACTTTGCAGGCGAGTAAGTAAGCAGCGGTTTTGTGTTGCAACGGAACGAAACAAGCAACAATCCAACTGCATAAAAGAGAAATTACCTAATTTAGCCTGTTTGGCTAAATAAACAGTCAACGTTAATCTGCTGAAACTGTGTTTTACTTCTAAACATGATAAAATATTAAAACATTTTTTTATACGTAACTAAATGTCATGTTCAATCTATGGAAGCTTGTATCACTGAATAAAAAAAAAATATATATAATTGCATGTTTTTATCTCACAATTCTGATTTTATTACCTAACAATTGTTTATATCTCGGTATTCTGACTTTTTTCCCTCCGAATTGCAGGATATAAACTATTTTTTTCTCAGAATTGCATTATAAAGTCAGAATAGACCTAATGCACAGTATAGCGACACATTTTCCCTCCGAATTGGACTTTATATCTCGCAGTTCTGATATAATAAATCGCAATTGCGAGATGTAAACTGTGATATAATTGTGCAACAGATTGTGAGATAAAAAGTCGCAACTATCTAATGTTTTTTATTCCGTGTCAGCGAAGATACTGCTGATTTTTGTATATTTCTATCTAGAATATGTATTGCCCAATTCAGGTTTTAAATCCTGAAAATAAATACAACAATTGAATCAAGTTCCCATGCAAACAATATGTGCCATGGAGCAGATTTGATAATATTACAATCTATATTACAATATGATATATATAAATCTGTATTTGTTGAGGAAATACTTTGCATCTAACATTTGCTGTGAAAAAATATCAGGCAATGAAATCCCGAAGTTGCTTGTAGATTTACATTTTTGTGCCATCTATCGTTCATAGCGAAGCACTACTTGTCATTTTGCGCAATAGTCATCAAAGAAAGGGTCCTGTTGGGCTCCTAAAATTATAAAATATAAATAAATAACAATGCAGTGATGTAGGCTATAGGCTACAGACCTTGTCTGAAGTAAATATTCCAGAATCACTGGTGGTTTCCTTAATACAAAAAAACAATAGCAAATGGATTGATATGAAGTCGGTGTGTAATGTTCACGAAAGCTTGCTTTATATTTTAAATTCTCTACATGGGATCGGCAGCCCAAAACGGAAGTGAGGCCCCAGCGAGATTTGAACTCGCGACCCCTGGTTTACAAGACCAGTGCTCTAACCCCTGAGCTATGGAGCCTGTCGAGAAAAGCTTTTCAAAATGGTTTGGAATTTATACATATAAATACTCATATTTACATTAGATACAATAAAGTTTCACATCGAAATTCAATCTTTTGAGTTTTTCAAACAGCAGTTTTTCAAACATTTCATCAGTAGGAGTGAAATCTTTCCGTGGCAGGGGCAGCGTCGGACTTATCGCGACCGTTAAAATTGTTCCATGTTTTAAAAAATATAAAAGAATGCGGAAATTATTTTGAAATTTCTAAGCGTTCATCGAAACTACTTGGTCATAATTTCCTCAAATCCCTAACGCGTAACTAAATATTCGTGTAGTGGATGTAATACATTTCGCTATATCTTTCCAGTGTTTCGAAGCCCGGATAGCTCAGTCGGTAGAGCATCAGACTTTTAATCTGAGGGTCCAGGGTTCAAGTCCCTGTTCGGGCGGAAAGACTTTTTTTTTTTTTTTTTTTTTTTGGCAAAGTTTTGAATCTAGCATGATTTCGATTGTTTAATGTGAAGAAAAAAACTCATGCATTCACGAGACACACAAATCAACGATTTGACGCCAGGAAAAAGGCGAAGGTAGTGTAAGAAAAATAACTAAAACAATGGTGTCACATTTTTTATTTTTAAACCACATACATACAGCTGAGCAAATGAGTAACTGAAATGGAATTATAGCATACGAATACCGATAAAGCATTTTAACGTAGGTTATAGAACTTAGTTTGTGACCTAAACGCTAATGAATTATAAATAAAACAGATAAAAGGGAATTTTTCCACTGTAAAAAAGTATCGTCGCCTAGGGAGAGCTAATTAAAATACTGATGATGAAACAGTTCTTCGTCATGTTTCGAGGTGCGCAGGAGGAAAAATCGCGACGGAAGGGAGGAAAGTGTGGGGAGAAACATCGGATGACGACAATGAACAAGAAATGGATTATCATTAAGTAAGGTATAATAAAAGGAAGAAAAAGAGCAGCATGGGTGATGGATCTGATTGTGAACGAACAATTAATAAAGTAAAACAAACGAGAAGTGAAGCTGATAAAGAAGAGGAAAGAGAAATCAAGGTCCTAATTACTTTTGCTAAGCAGTCAGAACAACAAACTCATCCTGTTAAAGGAGCTGTATGTAAGATTGTGGCCAAAACTAGTACTGCAATCACTTTCAAATTACTGTAGAGTGGTGTATCCCCTCCCCCTCCTCCCTGACTCGAGGTTGCCAGATCGGCTGCAGGATCCAGCAGGAACGTGACGAGCTGCAGCTGTGGTAACTAGAGCAGAGCTGGCAACCCGGATGCCGCAACACTACTGACTTCGTGATTGGTAGATAGGTGGAGGGTGGAGCATCAGACCAAAACACAACATGACAACATCAACATCAGTTGAGGGCTGCAACTTAACTTTTTAAATGACAATATCCTGGCCAGACTACTGTTGTTAGTGATATAAGTATTTGAAATGTACATGATTTCTAATGTCTAGTGACATTTCAGGGCCATTTTATGATTAATTGAAATAAATTTCTTACATACAGCTCCTTTAAATTATCAAAAGCAATTGAGAAAGAGATAGGAGTAGTGAAAGCTGTAGCTTGTCTAAACAATGGAAGAATAATGATTAAATGTAGAGATGAAAAGCAAAAACAACAAATTCTGAAAATGAAAACGCTGGCAGGAGGAAAGATATCATGCACAGAAATAGGTAATGGAATCAGAGGGGTTATCTCAGGAGTATACCTCTTAATGTAAGTGTGGATGATATTAAAGGAAATCTAAGTGGAGGCACAGTTATCTCTACTAGAAGACTGCAGATGTGGAAAGACAACAAAAGATGTGAAAGTCTGAGTGTGATGATTCTGTTTGAAGGGAGTTATTTGCCGGGGGACGACATGAATATGACAAGTGTGAGGAGGGCATAGTGATTAAATGCTGTAACTGTGGCGGTGGACATAGCGCAGCATACGCAGGATGTCCTGTACAACAAGAAGCCCGCGAAGTTCAAAAAATAAAAACTGTGCAAAATTTAACATATGCAGAAGCTATGCGTAAGGTAAAAGACAAAAGTAAAGCTGAACTGAAGGTAAATAATGTGCCAGGAAAAAGGATGGAATCATATTCTCAGAGAGAAGTGAATCATGGAATGAGCCAGATCTGCATATCACAGTAAACAAAATGGACTTTGTGGCATTCATTTGTGCGGTGGTGAATGGCACTTCACAAGTGGAAAAGCGATCTGACAAATTAAGGATTATCGTAGGATGTGCTAATACATTTCTCAAGTTAACAGGAGTTTCAGCAGAGGAGGTGCATGGGATTTTGAAAGCGGAGGAAGGAACTGCTGCCATGGATATGACTCATAATCCTTAGCTGGATGATGTCTTTCCTACTACTACATTGGAATGCTAGGAGTTTATTAGCAAATGGTCAAGAATTTAAAATATATCAGAAATGGAAAAGGCACCAGACATCATCTGCATTCAAGAGACATGGTTAAACAATTCTTTGGACTTTAAGATCAATGGATATGTAGTAGAGAGGAAAGACAGAGTAACTGGAAGAGGGGGCGGGTGTGCAACATTTATTAAAGAAGATATAATATATAAGAGAATAAACACAAGTAATAATGTAGAATGTGTAAGTATAGAAGTAACGGGGAGGAATGAAGGAATTAGAATTTCAAACTTTTATAACCATGCAAAGAAATAAATAATAGTATTCTAAAAGATGTGATGGGTGAGTCACAGGGTAAAGTTATTATATGTGGGGATGTTAATGCACATAATGGTCTATGGGGTTGTAAGAGTACAGACAATAACGGGTTAGTTGTAGAAGAATTTATAGAAGAACACTCATTAGTATGTTTGAATGATGGGAAATCAACAAGAATGGATATCGTTAAAGGCGGCTTGTCATGTTTGGATCTCACAGTAACATCAGCTGCATTGGCAGGTAAGTGCACTTGGAGCGTAATTTGGGCAGTGATCACTGGCCTATAGTCTGTGAGATTCAGAGTGCAGTACAAAAGCAAAGTTTTAACCAGTGTGCAAGGTGGGGATTTAAACAGGCAAAATGGAAGGAGTTTTGTGTGTTGTGTGAAGAAAATTTCAAAAATATGAAGATGGAAGGGAATATTGAGGAGAGATATAAAAAAGTAGTAAGTGAAATTATTTTAGCAGCGAACCTATCTATACCATTAATAAGAGGAAATGGAAAAAGAAAGAAAAATGTCCCATGGTGGTCAGAAGAATGCACAGTGGCAATTAGAGAAAGGAATAAGGCATTCCGGGATTTAAAAAGGTTAATAACTCAAGATACAGTAATAGATTATCAGAAAAAAAGGGCAGCTGCAAGAAGGGTAATTAAAAGCGCAAAGAGGAAAGCATGGAAGGAGTTCTGTAACACAATTGGGAGAGAGACTTCACTGGAATGCATGTGGTATGGAAAATGATAAGGAAAATGAATGGTAATAATACTCATAAACAAGTTCCTGTAATTGAGGAAGATGGAAAGGTGGCCAGAACGGATAAAGAAAAGATAGAAATATTGGCCAAAACATTTGCTAAAGTCCATAGTATTGAAAACTTGAGTGATGCGTTTTTAAAAAGAAGACAAGAGTTAAATAAAATGTATGAGAATGTTTGTAAGAAAAAACAAGAAGTTGATAGTAACATGGATGATGATTTTAATCTCTTTGAGCTAAAAATTGCTATTAGTAATTCAAAGGATACAACACCAGGGAGAGACATTATAAGCTATAGTATGTTAAGAAACTTACCGGACGTAGCCATTAAAGTCATACTGGATGTATATAACCAGATATGGAAGGAAGGCACCTTACCCAAAGAGTGGAAAAATGCAATAGTGATACCAGTTGCAAAACCAGGAAAAGATGCAACAAAATCAAGTAGTTATAGGCCACTTGCTCTTACATCTACATTTTGTAAGGTGATGGAAAAAATGATAGTAAGAAGATTAAATTATTTTTTGGAGAAAAATGAGATTTTATCATCAGCTCAAAGTGGGTTTAGGAGGAAAAGATCTACAATGGATGCTTTGTTATTATTTGAAAGTGAGGTTAAAAAAGCTTTAACAATGAAAGAATTTCTTGTTGCTGTTTTCTTCGATATTGCAAAGGCATATGACACTTTATGGAGGGAGGGACTATTAATTAAGCTAGATAAAATAGGAGTAGGGGGGAGAATGTACAATTGGATATTGGATTTCTTGTGCAAGCGTACATTTCAGGTTAGAATAGGGGAAGAAATCTCAACAATGCATGATATTCTGAATGGGACTCCTCAAGGAAGTGTAATCAGTCCAATTTTATTTAGCATAATGATTAATGACATTTATGAAAGAGTTAAACCAAGTATGGGGAAGGCACTGTATGCAGATGATGGTGCAGAGTGGAAAAGAGGTAGGAACTTATAGGGAATGTAGTCAAAGGAATACAAGAATCAATAAACGAAGTTGAAAGGTGGTCAGTGGAAGGGGGTCTAAAGTTTTCAGTATTAAAGACTCAATATATGGTTTTTACTAAGAAAAGAAAAATGGAACAATTGACTTTGAAATTATATGGTCAATTACAGTATTAGAAAGAGTGACAGAATTTAAATACCTTGGACTAATATTTGATGGAAAATTAACATGGAATAGACATATTAAGAAAATTGAGAACAAGTGCAAAAGAGTAATAAATTGCATGACTTCAATAGCCATGAGTGGGGAGCAAGGAAAAGTGCACTACTACATGTATATCAAGCCTTAATACGGTCTAGTTTAGATTATGGGTGTGCAGTGTATGGTGGTGCAGCAAAATCAGAGCTAAAGAAGTTGGACAACGTACAGGCTAGGGCACTTAGAATCTGTTGTGGAGCAATAAGATCAACCCCTCTAGATGCCATCAGGGTTGAAATGGGGGAGATGCCACTAGATTTAAGAAGGGAAAAGCTTACAATGATGTACTGGGTTAATTTGCAGGGTTGTAATAAGAGTCATTGTACACGAGCAATTTTAAATGATTGTTGGGAATATAAGAAGATTAATGGGAATAGTTTTGGATGGAAGTATAAACAATGGGTTAAGGAATGTGGTCTGGAAAATGTAGTTATTTGTCCTAATATGCCGTTAAAAGGGGTATCAGTGTGGAATATTCCTGAACCTAATGTTGAAATGAGAATGCTGGAGGATCGGGAGAAAGCAGAAGGAAGATATAGTTATGAAATCAATGGTTTTATGAGAGAAATTTTTTATTCTTGTGTACAGATCTATACAGATGGATCTAAAGACCCAGTCGAACAAAAAGTTGGAGTAGGAGTATATATTCCAAAATTTGAGACAAAAATAAGTTTAAGGTTGAGTGATAAAATGTCTGTATATTCAGCAGAACTAACAGCTATAATAGTAGGACTGCAGTGGTTAGAGCAGACTAAGCCAAATAGGATAGCGACTGTAATTTGCTCAGATTCTGCATCAGCACTTAAAAGTATATTATCAACAAAAACTGACAGAGAAGATCTGATAGTAGAAATTTATACATTATTATATAGGCTGAACATAGAGGGTATAATTGTATACTTTTGTTGGGTGCCGGCACATATTGGGATAGTAGGAAATGAAATAGCGGATAAATTAGCAAAAGAAGCGTTAAGGAAAGACTTGGTAGATATTAAGATACCTTTAGGAAGAAATGAAGTTAGATCAATCATTAATAGAGAAATAATACGAATATGGCAACAAAGATGGGAAAGTAGCAGTACAGGTAGGTGGTATTATAGTATTGTAAAATCAGTAGGGAAAAAAGAATCGTGCTATGGAAGACGTAGAAAGGAAGAGGTAATGATTTCTAGATTAAGGATGGGTCATACGGGGTTAAAATCAACACTGGCATTAATGGGAAAGCATGGAAATGGTATGTGTGATGAATGTGGTATTATTGAAACAGTAGAACATGTGTTTTTTAAGTGTAGTAAATATGAAGAACAGCGTAGCAGTCTTTTTAGTAATATAAAGAACAGGCCAGTGAGTATCATGGATCTATTGGGAAAGGGTTTGAGTGATAGACAGAGGTTTAAGGACGTGGTAACATTTTTAGAGCTTACAGGGCTAAATCACAGGAGAGCTGAGGAGGAAGAGCAAGCTCAGATCATCCTGGAGGTTGAGGAGCTCGTGTGGAAGCTGGAGGAGCTGAACACGCAGCGTCAGCTGAAACTCGGGCTCTGATAGGGGAGACCGGGGACGGTTGTAACACGGGGCTAGTTGTAACACTACCAATTCCACCAATCAGGGATAAGATAGGAGTCATGTGACAGTTTCAGTTTCCTCAGGCTTCCTTTACGATCTCACACGGAGGTTTTTGAGGTTTTCAAGTCTTTGTTGCAATCTCTCCTGAAGCTACAGCAGAAAATCTAATTCTGAGATAAGAAAATAAAAAAACATAACAAGATAATATTTTGTTTAGTACTTCTACCGTTGTAGATAATGTTGTATGAGTTATATCAGGTCAAACTGTAGTTTCTATAGTAAAGAATGGTGTATCAATCTCCTGGTAATTTCAAAGCACCATGCTAATACAGCTAGTTAAACAATTGTGACAGTGGCGGGGTAGGTTGTAACACGTGTTTTGAAAGTGTAATTGTGTTAGTGTATAAGTCTTTGTCTAAGCCATTGTGACGTAAAATGCATTTCATTTGTTTGTTCTTGTCACCATTGTGACTTAAAATGCATTTCATTTCTTTGTTCTTTTTCACCATTGACTTAAAAATGCATTTCATTTGTTTGTTCTTGTCACCATTGTTTACACATGCACAAACACGAAATATGCACATACACCCCCCATATTCACACATATTTTATTGTTGCAGCCATTCATTTAAAATAAAAATGATGTTGTGGCATATCACTTGGAATACCCTTAGTTTTTGTGCATTTTGTCTACCTGTTACAACTTACCCCAGTATGTGTTACAACCTACCCCAGTAGTGGGGTAGGTTGTAACAAAGGACCACCTTGTATTCATGATCATCTCACAAAGTCTGTGATATATTTTGAAGAAATTTAAATTGTTGCCATTTGTAGTAGACAAATATGGGTACTTTGCCTAAAAGTTTCAGACCTGTAGCTAAAAAAAAAAGGTCGTTTTAGGTGCTGAAGAAAAAAGTGTTACAACCGTCCCCGGTCTCCCCTACTCTGGAATGGTAAAGGTTTTTTTTTTTTTTTTTTTTATCAGATCCATTACTCAAGTGCGCAAGGTAAACAGTAGGTGGCGGTAATACTACAAAGGAGTGAACGGCCATAAAACGAAAAGAAGAAAGAAGAAGTTCCTCGTCATTGCCTGTCATACGTCACTATGTACAGTAGGTGGCAGAAATAGGTCGCACTGCAATCAAAGTTCAATAACGCTTCACAAGAAGAAGATGTAGAGCGTTGCTGGAAGATTCTGGAAGTCTCTTGTTTAGTACACGGAGGCATAAGACGAGAAGTGATTTCACCATATTTCACGGTATAAGGCGATTTATTAAAATAATGTTATTGCACGAGTCACGTGATTTTCGTCTTTGCTTGTTTTTCTACAAAATCCTGGCTTTTAGTAGCAAGCTTACACCTCGTGGCTTGACATTTAATTTCGCATGGTTTTGAAAATTCTATCGACACAGCAAAGGTCTAAAATCAATTGTTTTAAAGCGCTTGGTCAAGTTAATTCTTTGTGAATGTTATGGTGATTTTAATTTAGTTTAATTGCTTTCTAATAACCAGTACTGTTGATATTACGAGACTGAAAATATGGGCAAGGTTTAGATTAACTCTAACACTAATAATAGTCATGAATTAATTGTTGAACAGTCACAAGTGTCATTTTCTTCAGTGTATTTTTTAAATGTTTCTTTTGACCAGATTAACCTGTTTGAGGGCAACTATGGTGAAAGAGACTGGTTTTTATGATATGCTGGGTGTAAAGCCTAATGCTAGCTCTGAAGAGCTGAAAAAGGCCTATCGTAAACTGGCACTGAAATATCACCCAGATAAAAACCCAACAGAGGGAGAAAGGGTAAGTTTGTCTCTCTTTTTTGTATCATTAAGTTACTGTCTACATTATTCCATATTACAGTTTCTTGAGAAGATAGCTTTGCAGATTCTTCTGTACTGCTGTCAAATAAAGTGCCCCAAATAAACTACTATACAAATGTGTACCATACAAGGCCACATTTTATTTTACATTTCCTAAATGAAAATATTTTAAGCGCTTCTTGTGCCCAAATAAATAATGCTCTGTCTGTAATTATGATCTCTCTCTCTCTCTCTCTCTCTCTCTCTCTCTCTCTCTCTCTCTCTCTCTCTCTCTCTCTATCTATATATATATATATATATATATATTAGGGCTGTCAAACGATTAATCACGATAAATCGCATCCGAAATAAAAGTTTGTGTTAACATAATATATGTGTGTGTACTGTGTATAATTATGTTGTATATAAATGCACACATGTATATATTTAAAGCTGCTGTCTGTAGCTTTTTTGGGGTTAAAAATTACCCAAAATACATATTTGATAAAATACATAACCAGCCAGTGTTCAAAACTATCTGCTTGCCTTAGCTCGATGCAAAACGGTAAGCTTGTAATAATGTTTTTAATTTTAGTGGTACTGGTGGATTTCCGCGGGAGATTCAAGCATGTCTTTGCGTCATTACGTCACATCTGTACACATAAAGAAGGAGTCTCGGCTAGTATAAGCTATATTGCGTGTGAGGATGTTGGAGGTAGAGATTTATAGCCTTTTCTCACAGCACTTGATATAATTAAACTTATCAATTTGATGGCGGATCCAGAAAGGTTCAAACGACAATCATCATCAGTGACAACTAGAGACTCACCCGCTGTAAAATGCAAAAGACTTCGTTTGGACTTCGGAGTGGCTACAGAAAAAAAGAGACTGCAACCGGACCCATGCGAAAACAAGGATAATATCGGAAGGACAATACATGATGTAGTCACGCAATGCTTGCTGACGTTGTTAACATTAACAATTAGAGAACATAGTATAGCTACTTTGCACGGTTTTGCGTGAAATGATAACTTATAAGCAATTGTTAGATTTAATCAGCGCGATTTACTGCAATGTCAGAACCAGAACAAAAGTGAATGTTTCTTACTAGTTCAGATGACATTTCCCGGTGAAAATTCTTATGTTGGTCATACTTCCAAAAAGAATAATCTGTGATTCTGAATGACAATATCCACATCGGCGCGGTGACTGACAGCTGCACACTCTCCTCAAACACTGTGTTCATCCGCGCTGTGCCGTGTCGAGGGTGTTGAACTACAACCCACGTAAAGTTGATAATTCCGCGAATGACTGCAATTGCAGATTTCGAACAGAGATGGCGACAAAGAGGAAAAATGCCGGACTGCAGCTTTAAGAAAAAGATGTTATTTATATATAAAATGTTTATATTTATATAAAATATACATTATATATAGGCTACATTCAGTCTATATACAGTTTATACATGCAAATATTTCTTAAATAGAGGGTATGCGCATGACGTCACCGTCGGCCGGAGTGAATGCGGTCACGCCCACAAGTGGCAAAAAGACTGAGCGGCAGCATTTGTTTTCAGCGTGAATGCCGTGAAAATCACACAAAACACATCTAAAACGGGAAAGAGCTTTGCGATTGACTGTACAACTAGATTTGACCAGAAATCTGAGGTACTGTATATTTTTACAGACTGCAAAAAGCTACAGAACAGACTATATTCTGCATAATTGGATGTTTTTAAATAAACACTGACAAAAAACTATACAAGTTTTAGGGCTGGACGATATGATGATATACAGTATAACATTAATGTAAGTGATCACTCGGATTTAGACCTATCTATATTGTATTTATATAAAACGTTTACAGGCAAATTTTCTTCATTTATTTCCCCGGCGTCGATATCAGGCACATATAAATGTCAGGAAACACGATTCCGGGCTGCATGTCAATATCCATGGATCACTGGATCTTTGATAAGTTGTAAGGAACACTATATCGAGTCCAACTTTTAGTTTAAACTGATAATAGTTTGTTTTACTCGCGTTAACGCAGTTTCCCCTATTAACTCCAGTCACGCAGCAGCTCTTCTGCCACTCAGTCCCGCTGAGGGGGGCGTGTTCCGGCGGGGAAGTGACGTTAATGCATTCCCTCTATACACATGTATGTCATGCATGTACTTATACACAACACACACACACATATATTATGTAAACACAAACTTTTATTTCGGATGCGATTAATCGTTTGACAGCCCTTATATGTATATATGTATATATATATATTTACTTGGAAAAGATTTTGTCAATTGAATGTCAGTTCCCTTATATATGTGTGATTTTATAATTTGGAATCATATATATATATATATATATATATATATAGCAGTTGAGAGATCTTTGGGTGCTCTCAAAGCTTGAAACGTGAGTTTGGACTTTCACTATTCTCTGTCTTCAGTTCAAACAGATCTCCCAGGCATATGAGGTTTTGTCAGATGCCAAGAAGAGAGAAGTGTATGACAGAGGAGGTGAGAAGGCGATTAAGGAGGGAGGAAGTGGAGGCCCAAGTTTTGGCTCCCCCATGGACATTTTTGACTTGTTCTTTGGAGGTGGGGGACACATGCACAGGGAGAGGAGAGGTAAGTCATGTTTCTCTTTAGGCTACAAACTCCACAATTTGTGCGAAACCTGATCATCCAAGTTATTCCTTGGGTATCTTTTAAATTTTAGCGAATCCAAATCCGATTATGGTTATCGATTCCAATTCTTATCGATTCCCAGTTCTGATTCCAATATGGTAAATAAAATCAAACATTTAGATATCAAACATATTTATTCTGTGTCTTTTTGCAAAACATTCTGTTGCAGCTGAATACCTTGAACAAAAATCAGCAGCCTAAAGAACAACTAACTAATAAACTAGACTAATATAAATTTTAAACATTATTAGAGACAAGTTTACAGTCTGTAATGCAATAAGAACAAATAAGCAATTTAGCAATAGCACAAATAAGTACAACTGAACAAAGTTCAGTAATTGAAATCAAATGTAAAATAACACGGCATAGTTTTTTATATAAATTATAGATGAATCCATATTAAAGTTACAAAAGTTATTCAATCACGATCAGTGATTTTCTTTTTAGCAGTTATAACACAGACAGCAGCAGGAACATTAGGCTGCTGTCACTTTAAGACAATGCACGAATGCAATATACTGATACAGTTACATATGCTTTTTCTTTCTCAACTGTTAACGTTCACTAGAGACATATCCGACTTTGTTTACGAGGATATTTTTACATAATTTTGTGTGTATTTCTCCGTTCAAGCGCAAGAAGACGCGATAAAGTTTTAATTCAGTATTCGAATGCCGAATTTAGTTCTCTTTCGTGTCTTTGGCTTGAATGGTTTGAAAATTACATTGACATGCACACACAGGAATCGATAAGTGGAATCAATTTTAATTTTATAACAAGTATCCGATTCCAGAATTGGAATCGATTTTCAATTTACAACTCTAGTTATTAGTAACCTAAAATAGTACAGAATAAATATTTCTTATCTTGTTCTCTTCTTTGTTTTAGTTTACATTTACATTTGTTTACATTTTAAAAATCATAAAACATCCAGGTTTGAATTTAATTTTTTCACAAAAAAATGTCTACACTTCTAGATGAGATCAAATGTTCTAATAGGCTCACATAAATACTTTGCACTTGGAGTAATCTACAAATTAGCCAGCCAAAGTCTTTTAGAGATCTTTTGTTGTTCCTGACACAGGAAAGAATGTGGTGCATCAGTTGACAGTGTCTTTGGAGGACCTTTATAATGGAGCCACCAGGAAACTTGCTGTCCAGAAGAACCTAATCTGTGACAAGTGCGAAGGTAATAATGAGTTTTATGAGAATAATGTTATTATTCCAGTCTTTAGTGTCACATGATGTTTTCAATATCATAATTACAGTTGAAAACGGTTGTGCTGCTTAATATTTTTGTGGAAACTGATACTTTTTTCATGATTCTTTTATGAATAGAAAGTTCAAGAGAGCAGCATTATTAGATATAGAACATAGATATATACATTTTTAACAATATAAAGGTGTTTACTGTCACTTAGATCAATTTAATGCATCCTTTCTAAATAAAAGTATTCTTTTATTTTATTTTATTTTAAATGATCTGACTTCAAACTTTTGAATGCTAGTGTATTGTATTACAATTATACTGCCTTGTTTTTTCTGGTAGTATTTTAATAGTTGGATTTTCTTTTTGAATAGTTTTTTACTGGATGTTTTACTACAGGTCGTGGAGGCCGTAAAGGAGTAATAGAAGTGTGTCCATTGTGCCGTGGGGTCGGTGTCCAGGTCAGACTTCATCACTTAGCACCTGGCATGGTACAGCAGATATCAACAGTCTGCACCGGCTGCCAGGGGCAAGGTCAGCGACTTGGTCACCGCGACCGCTGCAAAACATGTGCTGGTCGCAAGATACTACGACAGAAGAAGATTCTGGAGGTGCACATTGATAAAGGTAATAATTAGGGCTGTCAAAAATAACACGTTAAGTATCCTCGTAAGCACAATCTTAAATGAGTTAAAAAGTCTTAAATGAACATATAGAGTTGTGAGAACATAGGATGTGTGTCAGATCCGCGTCATGTGCATCAGGTCTTAAAGTGACAGCAGCCTAATAAACCTGCTGCTGTGATTTCTGTCATTAATGTTAATCAAAGAACAAAAGACAAAGAGGAAATCAATGACTGCTCTTGACTGAATCACTTTTGTAGCTTTAATAAGGATTAATCTATATTCAATTAATAATTTATGCAGTGAAGACTGCTGTGTTTGAATCTGAACCAGTCCACCTGGACCAGTAGAAAAAACCTTTGTGTTGAGCCCTGATATATTGAAGGGCACAGCTAAATGTGACAGTGAAGATTGTTTTAAGTCCACTTAAAATAAGGTGCTTTTAATTTTACTGTAATGTTGAATGGCTATAATTAATGGCTAAAATTGGAAAAAATAATTTGTGTAATAGAGACATCAATGATACTGTCCTTCATTCATAGTACTTAGTAAAATATGTAATTAAACACATATTTAAGATATACTGTCTTTATGTTGTTTCTACATTATTTTGGAGATTCATTGTGAAAGTATTACAAAATAAAAATATATTTAAAACTGTAATGTTAGGTTCGCAATTAATTGCAGAAAAATGTGTGATTAGTTAAAAAAATGTTATCGATTGACTGCACTATAAAATAATAGGAAGCAATAAGAAAAGCACAGTTCACTCCAAAACACTTGTTTTCTCAGGGTTTCCGCGGGGTCATAAAAAGTCATAAAACGTCTTAAATTTAATAATAAGAATTTTAGGCCATAAAAACGTCCGGTTTTTCCATACAAGGTCATAAATTACATTTAGCCACGTCTTAAATTGATATGCTCATTCATTCATTATCGCGATATAATGTTTTCTCTATAAAACGATATCAAGAGTTCGATAAATGTTAGATCATGTTTATGTGCCAAAAGCGGAACGAAACTCATTTGAACCGCGCGCGCCTCACGGAGCGTTTATCCGCTCGGCTCAAAGTCCAAACGGCAGCGTACTAGCGCGATCAAGCTCACTAGAGCAGACGCGTTCTTTTACGGTCTATGGTTAACTTTGATCAGTCTCGATCACGAGATCCAGTGAGAAGCACTTGAATTCAGCGAAGAACACAAATGTCTCAGTGATTTAAACCAGTTTAAAGGCAGATGAAACAGCGCTGACGAACAGGAGAAACACTGTGCGCAACTATACAGTCAGAAAGCTTTTCCATCTACACATTTACATCCTTTACCATGGTTTTACTGTAACGTTAGCCTAGTAATATTAACTGCACCATGAAATGTGGGATACATATTGAATTGTATTATATTATTAATGTAGACAATGTATTAAAGGACTAATGGAATATAATTACAGTATTTATGTATTTAGGCTATAGCCTACTGTTTTTCATACATTTCATAAAGATACGTGCCATCAAAGTCAGGCAACACAAACCTGTTTCAAGACTTGAAACAATATCCCCCATTAGCACATGCAGAAACTAAGAAATTAATTTTGAAATAAAGATATTATTTTTGTTAAGGAAAAAATACAAATGTTTGAATGTTCTACCTCAGATTTGTGAAATGTTCACCTGTTTGGCAAGTGTTTGTCATGATATGTTTTGACAATAAAGAGTAGTTTAAAACCACAATTAACGCTCTGGTTTCTATCAAATGATATGCATTTTGTGGGGTTGTGTGCAACACCACGTGATTACAGAGCCGTAAAACTAAAAGTTAAAACTAACTTTCAGTTGGGAACAAAAATCTGCCTTCAAAGTTCAAAGAAATAAAGAATTGACATTTATCGTCATAATTATCGATATTGACTGATATATTATCGTGATAAGTGTTGTGTTGTTCCTGTGTTATTGATACTTAGGAAAAGGGAGCCTTCAGTTTGTTACTCTTAAGAAAATGGAACCTTTAAATAATTAAACTTATTACTTTTAATGAAAGTCAATAAAAAAAAGACTTTTGAAAGGAAGTTATTTTTCGTAATTCGAGTAGGTCATAAATTTAAATCATATTGGTCATAAAAAGGTCTTAAAAGGTCTTAAATTTGACTGACTAAACCCTGCAGAAACCCTGCTTCTGCAGCCGGTTGCTTTTGTTTATGCTTAATTATGTGTTATTGCAGGTATGAAAGATGGACAGAAAATAGTGTTCCATGGAGAGGGGGACCAGGAACCAGGCCTTGAACCTGGAGACATCATCATTGTCTTAGATCAGAAAGCCCACTTGGTTTTCACCAGGTAAAATCACTCTGTGCCTTATGTAATCGGTTTTGTTTTTTATTTTATGGCAAATAATTCTGGTAATAAAGTTTAATGTTACTACTGATTATTTTCAGAGGCATGTCATTGATTGTAGTATCCTGTAGAGGGCAGCACAATATTGGTGACATGCTTCCTCTGTGTTTTGTATATGATGCAGCCTTTTACAGTAGAGAAGGTAAATGAGGGAGTGAACATGTAGATATTATGTGTTAAGCATAAAAATGTATATACTTAACATTTCTCTTCTCAGACAAAGAGAGGACCTTGTCATGAACATGGAGGTGCAGTTGGTAGAGTCATTATGCGGTTTTCAAAAACCCATTAAGACAATGGATAACAGAACTCTACTCATCACATCCCATCCAGGTAAACCATCCTGCATACATATTCCAGCATTACATTCAGGTTTCCATATCATCAGCACTATTGTGAGTCAGTGCTGCTGGTTAGGGGTTGAACCGATTAGTCGACCTTAATTCAATGCCGTGACGCTTTAAGCTTGATGTCGACTAGTCGTGTTGATCATGTGAGAGTGACACTATGATTGATATGAACATGGCCACGTTGCAGACGACAACAGATGACGAGCCCAGAGCGTCATTGCCGCAAGAAAGCAGCAGTGGTACATCAAGTGTGTGGAAATACTTCACTAACTTAACACTAGATATTGTTGAAAACAAAAGTAAAAGCATGACGCACACTCATTGTGTTTTACCGGGAAATGAGAGTTCAGTCTCTTTATTAAAATTATTAAAACATTTTGTTCATTTTTTTTTTAAACATTCATGATTTATCTCTAATTCACCCGCAATTAATTGGAATATTATTTTGTATTACTTGGATCTGCGCATCACTAACGCGCAGATGTGAATTTATAGCTTTTTTTTCCTTTTCTTTTTTCTTTTCATCCTATATGATGATGTAACACCTGGCTGTTCACACCTGGCCACTTCATGTGTTTCTGTGATCTGATAGCTGTCCAATCGTGAAAAGACCAGGGACCTGTATCATGATGGTAGTTGAACAAACTCAGGGTGTTACAGGATTAGTTTCGAGTTGACAAAACCAAACCAATCCAACCAGGCTTTGTTAGTACCATGATGCTGATCATCAACTTTCTATCAACTCAGGCTTTGATCCATAGTTTAGGTGTGAAATCAGTAGCGAACAGCCAATCGCATGCTGAGAAAGAGTGAAACTGCGATTCATTTCTCGTGAGAGAAGCAGCGCGATTCACTTCTCTCTTCTGCAGAATTTTATGAGATTGAAAAATATTAAGAATTTAAATAAATTTACACAGCAAGAAGAAAATAGTTGTCTATGAAACAACAACTAAAAGAAAAAGTCTTGTTATATCAATGCAAGTAAAAGTTGTGAAGTTAGTTTATACATTTGATAAAGGTTTAGAGAGAATTGAACATTTAACCTCACATGTAGTCATTTTATAGCTTTATCTATTGATTCTAAAGCGTATTTATTTTACCTTTTATATATTTATTTCTTTAAACTGTGTGTAATAATAATAGATAAACTAAAATTGTACTTGTGTGATCGATAAATAATATCTTAATCAGCGTTACTAAAAGCCAGACGATTTCGTCTTTAAAAATCATTTGCTATGTAGTGACCTTTAATTTGGAGTAGAAACAGGTGGAGTGACTTCATCGCATCAGACATATGTCACTTTGCTCACAGCTGATTGGTCCAAGTTCGGTTTGCAACCTCTTACCTGGAACATAACCTGCCCCGGGCCAATTTAGCCGTGGAGAGGTAGTTACTATTACTATGGCGATGAACACTGCTAAAAGCCAAACCACTTTTATGGTGCCTAAAACCCAGGGTTGGCGCAAACTAAACTGAAACATACCTGGCTTGCCACCTAAACCGGCTTCATGGTATAGGCCCCCGGTGTAAATGCCCTCCGAAACGCATTCGAGACGGGTTTAAATCCGATCGCTCAAACCACTTCAGGAGGAGGTCTGGGCCGCCCGTATTCCAGACAAAACTTGTCAAGTGTAAATGCATTGGTTGTTGAAACCACATATGTAAATTGGACTCCTTCCAACAATGCTAAAAATAAATGTGTGAGAGCGTGTTATAGGCTATATGTCATGTTATAGTCATTATATGACAAAGCTATGGCAACACGCATCACCGCAGCTGAGCATCTATTCATCAAGCCAACGTGCACTATCGCAAATCAAAGTGAAAGTCGCAGACGCTTAACACACAATCATCTTCATTAAAAGTAAAGAAACAGAATGATCTTGCCAGGGCTGTTGCCACTCTTATTGCGCCACTCTTACTCCGTTAAATCTGCATATAGCGCGGGGTTTGAAGATCGGTTTTATATCCGTATTGCGAAAACACATTTATAAGACTAGGTGTAAATGGAATCGTTTTGATAAATCAGATAGCTATCCGATCTGAGAAAATGCATGAAGTGGCCAGGTGTAAACAGCCCCATTATGAGCTGTCTGTCAGCATCTGTATTTATGCTAATAAATTGCAAATTGTGGCATGTTGCAAAGCAGTCCCATCTCTTTCATTTTTATGAATGACATCAGCGACTAGTCGACTCGACTTTGATGTCATTACAGTCGACTTCAAAAAATCTAAAGTCGTTCAACCCCTAGTGCTGGTGGACCAGTGAGGGATGGCATATACTGCAGCATGATGGTGGCTGATGGAAGTTTCTGTCTCAAACCTGTAGCCATATACACTCTTAGTGATGCTCTAGCTCAGGGAGGATCCCAGGGCTAATAGTATGTCACCTTGGCAGATGGCGTAACATATGGTCACTTTTGCTATTGCCTTCTCCAGGGTTTCTAATAGGCATCCTTAGTGTCTTGTTGACCTTGTATATTACCAGACATCCAACTTGTGCAGTGCTCAAGCTAGTCTACCTTGTTTTGGATTAACTGGTTCTGATATCAATCTTTCCCAATTCATTCCTGAGCCATTTGGAGAGTAAAAACTACCAACTGGAAGCTTGGCTAGTTGTTAAATTAATCTTAATAGCAGAGTAGATATAACTGTTATATAAACTATAGATGTGTAAAGCAAATGTATTGTCTTTCTTTGTTGCATTAATAGGAGAGCTGATTAGACCTGGAGATAAGAAATGTGTTCTGAATGAGGGGATGCCTCTGCACCGTCGGCCATTTGAGAAAGGGAAGCTCATCATTCTTTTCAATGTGAGTACCGATTATTGAATATGTTCACAAATTCCTAAAACTTGCATACATACATGCATACAATGTATATGTAAGGTAGTGGTCTCAACGGGGGCGGTACCGAACAACGGAAAGTTGGAATGCAAGATTTTTGAAAGGGGGTGTTCAGGTGTTCATGGTCTTGTTCACGAGTTTACACCAAAGATCCAGGCAAGACAAGATTAATCATGTAATTACTTGCAAAATAATTGCCTACAACATTCTAAAATCTGCTAGTTTAATGCGACATGTAAGCTATGTATCGTTTCTTTTGCAACGACTCTTATCATTTTTCCAGTCATAGTCATAGACCAGCGCTCAAGCGCTGACAAGAATCAGCATTCACATGCTCAAATGTGTTTCATGCTGACAACAATCCAGTGGTGGCTAGAATCACACAGCGGAGGAATGGAAATTTACCAAGCAGCCATTGAAAAAGTTTTGATTTAAGAACCACTTATATATTTTCAATAAATCATGTTCCCGTTCACGAATTTTTAAGTGAATTAAACTAAATTCCATTAAGTAAAACTTTTACATTTTTAGGCATTAACTAATGTTTTCTTTGTTCACCAAGTAATTTACTGGTCAGGCATTATTGTTAACTCGCAAGACTGTAAGGAGAAAAAGACAATTTGATGGATAATTTAAATATATTCTGTAATCACATTTTGGTAATGTATTTATTCCGCCGTCACATCTGAGCGCGAAACCCTGCTTGAATAGTTTCAAGATAGTTAAAAATAATTAATAATACAATAATAATGTAATTGTTCATATGTGTTTATTCTTGTTTGAAGATTTAATTTTTTTTACTGATTATGAACACAAATTAATCATGACAAACCAAATTAATTGTAATTGTATTAAATATACCATTGATGAAAACAAGCTGATACCAAGGTATTTTAGGCCTATCTTGAGCCCATTTTATAACTACTTTGAGTGGCATGGGAGAGAGTCGGAAGTTCATGTGTTGCCCCTATGAGTTTATAATAGCATATTCTAACAAGATGTTCAAATGGATAAAGACAAAAAACTGCCTAAATGTTGGAATTATTAAACTATGTTTTAAACATGTGAATAAATATGTCTCATATGTCTATTTATTTTTAATATAGGCCTACTATTTTTTAATTTATTGTTCCATTTTATTTAACATTTTCACATTTAACATGAATATTCAAACATTTAACATAAAACAAGAATTGCACAACAATTTTAAATGTCTACTTATTTGTCCATTTTAAAATGATTTATTCATTTACATTTTTATGTTTTAATTAAATTGATTTGCTATTCCTTATTCATTCGGTTTATTAGGTGTCACAACAAATCCTCCATTCCTAGTCTTCCATACATAATAGCGTATCGCATATCTTGTTTTATTCACGTGCAAATTCGTTATTTCAAATGTAGGCGCGCGGCAAGGACGCTCATAATAGAAGCGACGTGATCGGTGGAAAACATCTCAACTTTTCAGAAGAAAACAAACTTTAGAAACCCCATAGAAAATCTCTGGTGGGATTTGAAGAAGGAGGTTACAGCATGCAAACCCAAGAATATTACTGAACTGGAGACCATTGCTCATGAGTAATGGGCTAAATTCCTCAGAAACGCTGTCAGAAGCTGGTGTCTGTTTGTACATCTCGTTTACAGCCGGTCATAACAGCAAAAGGGTGTTCTACCGAGTACTAAAGATGCTTGCCATGAAGGGGTTTAATAATTTTGAGGCTGCAGAAGTCTTTAAAAGTGGCATTTCCAGTTAAATTTGGGGAAACCACTTGAAATATTTGTGTGAGCTTTTTCAATTACTTTTGTTTGATTTGTTCATTGGGTAATTGCAATACTTTTCTTCTTAAGGTTGTCTTCCCTGAAGAGAACTTCCTCCCATTAAACAAACTGAAGGAGTTAGAAAGGTATCTACCTGAAAAACAGGCAAATATTGAGCCTGACGGCATGGATGATGACCTCTATATCTATGCTGACCTTGAAGACTGTGATCCGACCCATGAACGCAGTCATTACCATATAGAAGAGGAAGAGTTTCACCCTTCTGGAGGAGTGCAATGCCAAACCTCATAGAGATTCCTGTTCCCTTCCCTTCCACAACAAATGCCACCTCTGCTGGAACACACACACATACAAAAGGACCAAGAGGAAAATTTCATTACCTCTCATCTAGTTCTGTGCCTAAAATAAGACCTCTGCTCTTAGTGCCAACCTCTTTTGTCATCTCCTCATCCCAAATTTTGTGCAAATAAATTTAGGGGATGTGTAAAATGAGTAGTGAGACGGTTACCATATAGTTTCAACTGAGGGGAGAGTATGGAAATTTGTGTAGCAATTACGAAAATAGAAGGGGCATTCGGATTTGAAGTTGATCGTGCCATAATCCCAGTAATTCCATCTCTAAAATCTATTTACCTTGAAAATCAAACTTTCGTCATCATTTTGAGAAAACATTTCAAGCTTTGTGTTTTGTTTATTGCCAATTGTGGATTACATGCAGACCATTTGACCTTGGTGTTGTTGGACATTTGCTATGTGCCGGTTTATTGCTAAATGTTTTTCTAGAACTTTATGAACTAATTAGAGGGGTCTAATATACAAGTTAAAAATACATTTGAAATCATTACTACACTGACTTTTTTTATCATAACTTAACCACCAAGGATTTTTATGAAAATAACTAATGTTGCATTTGTTAATTCAAATCCTGTTTAGAAGCTTATCTAAACAAACAAACAAAAAAATGCATTAATTGAATGGCACAACAAAATACTAAATATACCAATCTGGTTTTGAAGGCGTTTTTGCAGCCGGCCGACCTCTGCAGAAAACATAAATTCAGTCTTAAGAGCACCTGGAAAGAATAATGAAACTTTTACTTAATCATCTGTTAATTCTACATTTCAAGGACATTTTTGGATATTGCAAATGCACTTTTATCCCTTATGTTATTTTTATGTTTGCCGCAGATAAGTCTTATATTTTGTGATTTTATTATCTGTATTGACTGAAGAATAATTGTAAAATGTGGAATTTTAATTACGACCAATAACTTAGCCATTTGTAGTTCTATTTATAAAAATGTCACAATGTTATTCATTTAGTCATTTGTATTTTTTGGGGTGGGGGAGGAGAAGGGGGTGGAATTTTGGGCTAATTATGCACAACTTTGGGCTCCTGAAGATCCACCTTCCAATAAAAATCACAACGAACATTTTGCATATCAAGATGTCACTACATCTTTATTGGAGAGCTATTGCAGATATCAAGCAATCAACATCTAACCAGTTAATGATGCATCTTAATGACAAATATTTTTGAAAAGATTGTCATGAATTAATCATGCTTGAATGTTAATTGAACTGCAGCAATATCAGCACATTATTTACCAGCACTGTAAGATACTCATAGACTTACACTGTAAAGCAGTGTTATACCAATATTCAAACAAAAGTGAATATCCTTGATAAAAAATAATCTGTAATAAAAGGAGCAATTCCACAGGGGTCCTCAAACCATTGGTGCTCGGGCCCTAAGTATCAGAATATAAACCACACTGATTACTCCCATATAGTATTACAGTATAACTGCATAATATGTTCACCAGCATGCAGTACAAGTAGATGTGCTTGGTTGAGTGTTAAAACACACTAAACCATTATAATCAACAAAATATTGTACCTTATGAATTCTAACCATATCAGAATTCTAAATGTACACAAGTACAAATATGTGAAAATGTCCTCAATGAGTCCAAGACTACTGCAATGTCACATTATGAGCAAGTACATACTGATTATCTGTCTTTGGCCAAAATGATCAAAGATAATACATACATTCACATTAACGATGTCAAACTTCAAGAATAGTCTGTAAAGAAATCCAGTACATTTACCACATTAATTTTGTTCGGGCTAAATTTCGCATGCAGATATTATCACAGACAATACTACAAAACCCTTAATAATAGTAAAAGACCAGTACATTCGTGCAGTTTTTCATGTTTACCACTAGAGACTTAGACTAAGTTAGATGTAGTTTCAGGTGTTGAAGAGGTCCTGCATCTCATGATACTGTGGAAAGCCTCTCTCAATGCATGATGTTGGAAAGACGAATCTTTGAATTCCTTGAATGGAACACAATTTCATAGCAGGTGTATAAAGGCAGAGATGTGTGTGCACGGGGATACCACAAATCCAGAACATAGAAACACAAGACGTGTATACAGAGTCCATTTTATGAAGGACGAGACTCAGGGCTTCCAGAGTTTGAGTAGGCCATCCTCGCTGTATGTGGCGATGAGATTCTGATGGGGGTGGTGAGTTATGCCAATCACATCTTTTTCATGTACCTGTGTAGAGGATGTACAAGGAAGAACTTGTTTAATTTAAAGCAGATTTAAATTTTATATCCGATTCAGATTTACTATGATAACTCCAACTGGTCCTAATTAAAGTTACAGCATTAATCAAATATTTTAATTATAAGTTCAGCATCTTTACTGATTTCAAACCATGAAGCCAGGCATTAGAAAAACACATTTATTTCTTTAAAAAGTGAAGCTTGAGCAAAGGAGTGACACCTAAAAGCAAAATACAACAAAACATAAAAAGAATGTCACAAACCAATAATTATTCTCAGAGATAATGATTGATTTCTTTAAAAAGTGAAGCTTGAGAAAAAGGAGTGACACCCAAAAACAAACCCAGACAGCAACATAAGTGTTGGTCTAGATCCGGGCCACATCTGGTACATGTGGATTTTAGATCTGGGCAGACACTATGTTGCTGTCTGGGAAACAAAGCACAAAAGCAAAATACAACAAAAACATAAACACAAAACATGTAATGATGTCGTGAATTAATCATCAAAAAATAATGATTGATTTCTTTAAAAAAACAAAACAAACAAAATCCTCAAAGAGACTTTCCTAAAATAAATATTATCATCACAGAGGCTTATCAAAAACGATCAACGAAATCCAGGAGATAAACCACAATTTTATACTTTAAAAAGTAAAGCTTGGGCAAAGGAGCAACACCCAAAAACAAAACAAAGCATTATCATCAAAGAGACTATAAAGCTCAAAGAGAATTTGAATTTCTCATTCAGATTTAATATTTATCTCCAACTGGTCTAATATACACTCACCGGCCACTTAATTAGGTACCCCATGCTAGTAACGGGTTGGACCCCCTTTTGCCTTCAGAACTGCCTCAATTCTTCGTGGCATAGATTCAACAAGGTGCTGGAAGCATTCCTCAGGGAGTTTGGTCCATATTGACATGATGGCATCACACAGTTGCCGCAGATTTGTCGGCTGCACATCCATGATGCGAATCTCCCGTTCCACCACATCCCAAAGATGCTCTATTGGGTTGAGATCTGGTGACTGTGGAGGCCATTTTAGTACAGTGAACTCATTGTCATGTTCAAGAAACCAATTTGAAATGATTAGAGCTTTGTGACATGGTGGAAGTAGCCATCAGAGGATGGGTACATGGTGGCCATAAAGGGATGGACATGGTCAGAAACAATGCTCAGGTAGGCCGTGGCATTTAAACGATGCCCAATTGGCACTAAGGGGCCTAAAGTGTGCCAGGAAAACATCCCCCACACCATTACACCACCACCACCAGCCTGCACAGTGGTAACAAGGCATGATGGTTCCATGTTCTCATTCTGTTTACGCCAAATTCTGACTCTAACATCTGAATGTCTCAACAGAAATCGAGACTCATCAGACCAGGCAACATTTTTCCAGTCTTCAACTGTTCAATTTTGGTGAGCTCTTGCAAATTGTAGCCTCTTTTTCCTATTTGTAGTGGAGATGAGTGGTACCCGGTGGAGTCTTCTGCTGTTGTAGCCCATCCGCCTCAAGGTTGTGCGTGTTGTGGCTTCACAAATGCTTTGCTGCATACCTCGGTTGTAACGAGTGGTTATTTCAGTCACTGTTGCCCTTCTATCAGCTCGAACCAGTCTGGCCATTCTCCTCTGACCTCTGGCATCAACAAGGCATTTCCGCCCACAGAACTGCCGCTCACTGGATGTTTTTTCTTTTTCGGACCATTCTCTGTAAACCCTAGAGATGGTTGTGCGTGAAAATCCCAGTAGATTAGCAGTTTCTGAAATACTCAGACCAGCCCTTCTGGCACCAACAATCATGCCACGTTCAAAGTCACTCAAATCAACTTTCTTCCCCATACTGATGCTTGGTTTGAACTGCAGGAGATTGTCTTGACCATGTCTACATGCCTAAATGCACTGAGTTGCCGCCATGTGATTGGCTGCTTAGAAATTAAGTGTTAACGAGCAGTTGGACAGGTGTACCTAATAAAGTGGCCGGTGAGTGTATATCAAACTGAAACAGATCTCGTGGATATGCAGCATGTGCTGTGAGGGCGGACGGTACCGTGAGGCTTCTCTCTAGCTTGCCAGTGATGGTGCTGAAGCAGTACAGCACATAGTCCTCTCCCACGCAATAAATCCACTCTCCACGTGGAGACAACGTGCAGCAAACAAAGTCTCCCCCCCTTCTCACGCCTGAACAGAAACTCCTCATCACCTGGGAAAGAAAGGGGAGGGAGGGGGGGGGGGGGGGCAACAGAGTCAGTGAGTGCAACCCAGACGAAAAAGGTAAAGGCACGCTTTACCAAAAAGCGTGCAAGAGTGAGTCATCAAGCACATCAAGAAAAGAGTGGGTGAGGCGGCTGAATAAGGGCACGCCTTATACGCCATCAGACAGTCTGAATATTAAGTGCTTAGCTATTTTTAGCAAACCTCACATTCAGCAATAGACGTTTGCTGCTTCTTTTTTTTAACTTCTGCTCAACATGGTATACATTTGTGCTGCCTTAATACTGCTGGTAAAATAGAAACCAGTAATTATCATTTTTTGGTATATAGCATGCAGAGTACCTTTCTTTCAATCTGTGAACATATGCATATGTATCATATGCAGGTCAAATTTTGTTCTCACCTGGCCATGAATGTTTGTAACAACCACTGTGTTGGTCCTATTACACACCACAAAGTGCTCAGGAGTCTTTGGGACAAGCACAACATTGTTAACAGTGATGTCTGTACCCTCAGGAATTTCAGGGGTTTTTATTGTGTGGCTGCAATCCATTGTCTTCATGTTCCAGACCTGAACAAAAAAAAAGAGAGAACTAAGCATGGAAATCCACACAAATTAATATAAATGTATAGATCGAAAATGCATATAGTTGTGGTTTCGACCCAGTATGAACACCTACCTTGACCATGCCGTCTGCCGATGCGCTAATGACATGCTGGCCACCGTGCGAGAAGATGACCTCATTTACATG